GATATGTAAAACATATTATTCATATAGAGTTGGCAATTTTAACGGGAAATTATGTGCACGGGATCAGATATTTTTATATATATAGATAGATTAGACATCTGTGCAGAAGATATGTTAATTTAAAAAGAGAGAGGACTAACCCCGGGATGAGATGCTCAAACAGGGATTTTGAGATTTCCTATGAACTTTTTTGTTTATAAATGGTTGCAATGGGTTTTGAAGCTATTATAATAATAATTATTGGTTTCCGGTCAACAAAGTGTATGGGATCATTTGGTACAGAGATAGGTTAAACCACTGGGCAGAATATAGGCTAATTTAAAAAGGGAGAAGACCAACCCCGGGATCAGGTGCTCAAACAAAGATTTGAGAATTCAGATGGAAATTTTTGTTTATAAATGGTTGCCGTGGGTTTCAAAGCTATAATAATAATAATTATTGGTTGCCGTTGGTTTAAAATTGTTGTTATGGTAACAGTTATATTATAAAAAAAACATATATTATTCATATAGAGTTGGCATTTTTAATGGCTAACGAAGTGCACGGGATCAGCTAGTGCATTGAAAAATTGTATACTATACATACGTCATGTAAATTAATACAAATATTTTCACTACAGAAATATAGCATTTAAACATAAATTATTTTCTCCAGAAGCTAGGTTTGTTGTAGAGATAAAGGTTCTTATAATATCTATTTAGTTCTCATACAATAAATAATTAAAACGATCATTCGGTGATTATTAACTTATCATACAGTTATAGGTACCTTGGTTAGTACCAGAAGCAATCGGGAATATGCATTATATATAAACTATTAAGTATTAACTATATAATTATATGTACAGTTTGAATAAGTTTGATCTCAATGGTCAAATTTAAAGTTAAAATATTAGAGAAAAAGTATTGAACCCTAAGTTAAAACAAATATATTAAAATAAGTATTTATTATATTATAATTTATAAGTACTTTTTATGTATTGATTTTGTTCTTAAATACCTATTGAAAAAAAGTACTTTAATACTATTTAAATACTTTTTAAGTTGATGTATTTGTATCTCTATTTAAATACAAATTAAAAGTATCTTTTCAAGATTGTCTTCGGCGTCATTTTTTTTGCAAATTCCACATCCATTGCATGATTATAGACCAGTGATGAATAAACTCAAACTCTTGTCTCAGCAAATAGAAGAGCTATAGCTAATTTGGTGTTTTTGCACCAACTAATTGACGGACGTGTAGATGCTCCATCTCTTCTTTCTCTAATACATAATGTTCCTTCTCACTCAACTGGGCCAAATTCTTACTTTATTGTTCCATTCCACAACACCAACTATGGTAGAAATAATCCTATTCACAGTTTTATGCGCATTGGTCATGAGCACCTAAGCTTCTCTTAATATTATTTTATTAATAATATTACTACAATCTGTTTACTACTATTTTTTTTTTATAATCGCCATTTGTTTATTTTGATCCATTCTATTGTTTGTTGACTTTAATAATTATGTTATATTATTCAAATTTATTTATTCATCTATTATTTTTATTTATTTCATAAATAAATAAATAATTAGTATTACTTATATTACTACTGGTAAATGTTTAAAAATCATTTTGTATAATCTTCCTTTTTATCATTATTTGAGATAAAAGATATATTGTAGATAATCAAGTCATTCTTCAGTTGAATTCAGATATGAGAATCACTTAGTTATTTTTATTGTTCTCATCAGTCATCACTAATTAAAATTAATGGCTACAATTAAAGGGAAACTAAATTGAATTGCAATGATGAATGAATTATCATGTAATATAAAAAAAAAAACAGACACTTATATGTTATAACTTGGGAACAGATTTTATTGTAAATACATATTTTTCTTGGAATGAGATATTTTAAATCTGATAAAAAATGTGTACGATTAAGATCATTCTAATTAAAATAAACCCAAACTTATTTTACATACTTGGTAAATAAGTACATATTTTAGTAATTAATTAATTTTCAACGACTATTAACTATATTACTATATTAACTATATTATCTGCTTCGTATAAATTAACAAAATTAGTAAGTCAGGTCGTAACATCAGTGTTTGGCAAGTTTCTTATAAAAAGGAGTTTGTTCCGTTCCTCTTTCTTTAAAAAAAAAAAAGAATTCATTCCCTTTTTGGTTCCAAATAAAATAAAAATTCTTGTTTAATCATTAATGTTTTTTTTTTCATATGCATACTTCTTTAATATTTAATTATAATATATACCTACAATATGTACATATTTTATAATTTTATAATTCTATTTAGAGATTTTCTTCAAAATTAAATTTTTGGCTGACGTATGTAGACTTTCTTATAGTTTATTGGAATAAATAATTATATTTTATATAGGTACTAATTAGTTATTTCTATATAAATTATAACTTATGAGAAATATTAATAAAGTGACTACTGACTAATGACTAATGAGTACAAATTATGATATGTCAATACTGGATAATAATCACTGATTGGCAATATACATTATTCACATAAAAAAATATATCTTAATTTCAATTATTAACATATCTGTGTAACTAGAAAGGAACAAAAAATTTTGTTTTATTTCCTTAAAAAAAGAACTTTCATATTTTTATAAAAATGAATTCGTTCAACGTGCCGTTCTTTAAAAAGAAATTTGTTCCAGAAATCCGTTCCTTCCAAACACCTTAGACAGATATAATTGATGCATACAAGAGGCTCAGATGACCATCTTCAGACAATACAAAACTAGACCTACCTAATGGCTAATATTATCACATTAAAGCATTAAACATTAAGTCAGACAAACAAAGTGTTCCTTACTTCTTAGTAACCCCACAATACATTTTGAATTCAACTATAACTATTTTTAAAAAACAAAAACTTAAAAATACAGGAGAAATATAACAATTGTTAAATTATTCTCATAAAAAAATCTGGGTTGTTGGTTTTTTTATTTTTATTTCAATTGACAACACATAAAAAAAATGATAAATTATTATTTAATTTATAGTAATTACAATCAGAGACAAAAAGAGAGAATTTTCAGTATTCTGTTGGAAGCTAGTCAATACACAACAGCTGATCATCTTTCTTAACAACTCAAAACTAGATAAATTATTGTAAGCCACATATTATATGAATAATAAAAAAATATAATATACTGTATAATGCAAACTAATGTAAGTTAAAGTATATGTAAAAAAAAAAAGCTAAGGGCTATGGATGTCTAGGCTAAAAAAATAAAATAATTACATTCGCCAAACATACAAATTTTAATATAATAATTATTTATAATTAAAATATTGGTAGTTAATTTTATAAAAATTGCTAGGTATACATTTATAAATGTATGTCAAAATGGTAGATCAGATTAGTAAACTATAATGCACACTACCATTACTACTAATATTTTTATGTTTTGTATTATATTTATTACCTTCCTTGAATCCTCTAAAAGAATCAGTGTGCACACCCAGGATTTATTCAAGGAAGCAGTCCAAACAAATTATTTAACTACTGTTTTTCTGTTCATTTTCTAAGTATACAAATACATTTTATTGCTTAATAAACACAATTATTTAATATATAAAATATTAAGTTTGTATGACAATGTTAGGGAATCTTTAAAAAATAAAAAAATAAATTCTAGGTATGACATAGAGCCACTGAACTGAACATCATCATATTAATAATGGGTGGTACTAAAAATTAAATGTGATAATGTGGAAAGCGTTAATCAAATTTTGATGAATAATTAAATTGTAATATTAGGTTTTGATGTTGTTTTTAAATTGCACCAAACATTGACAAACTGATCCAACATAATCAGTACCTGAGGAATTTTAGTAATTTGTTTAACATTTGTAACATAAATGAACTTTTTCCCTACAACACGGGCTATTCTTTCATTAAAGGTATAAAAACAAAGAACATACGTATTGAAAATTATGGTCGAAGAATCGGGGATTGCTCAAAATCATATTACCTAACAAACAACAGTAATATTAATAAATATTTAGAATTTGCAACAAAGATTTAAGCATTATTTTTAATTTATGTAATTCACAATTATAACATGCATAAATATTGGATGTTAAAAAAATAAACTTTTTAACAAGTGAAAAAAAATAAAGCATTTATATTATATACAGTTTATACTGAAATAATTAATATATCATATTAGTTTCATTATTGTTGGTCGAAGGTAATGTAATCATAATGTCTTATGACTGATGTATTATGGGTTTTTTTATTCCCTTAATTAACATTTCAGATTTATGGCATCAAGACTAATATAACTAATAAACAATAATATGATTTATGAATTTTTTGAAGTATTGGACTATATGTTTATAAATGTAAAACAATTTTAATGTTAATATTGTTAATTGATATGAAAATGAAAAATATATTTTAAATTTTCACTAGTAAATATCATCATTTAACTAACTATTAGTCATATTAATTTGTTGGTCTCAAGTTAAATATTTAATTGTTAGTCATTAACTGACTAATTTGTTTGGTTAGTTGGTCATATAAACTAATTATCTATCTAATTTTTGGTCGGTTATTTTTTCTAAATAAAGACTAATAGTCAATATTGTAAATTATTCAGTTGTATCAGCACTAATTTATGTATAAATAATATTATTTTAAATTTACTTTAATAAACTTTTAATTTTGATATGTTTTTGGCTTGCTGATGCTTTATTAAGCAATTAATGCAATACAGTATATTTCACATATTAAAAATACAATTCAAAATACCTTTACATTACGAAGTTGTCTGGTACAAGTCTACTTGTTTTTTGCAATTAAGTAGATAAAACTCTATTTTAATGAATTAAACATACAATGATTCATTATAATAAAATATATCTGTATTAACCTATCTAGTTAGTTGCCATATACGAAATATATTTAAAAAATAATTAAATAATAACTAAGAGAACTAAGAAGCTATAAAAATTGTTAAAATTAACTGTCACTTATACAATCATTCATTTCAGAATCCACAAATTCCACATGAGTAAATGGAAAATGTCCAGTTTTACCATTTAGCTCTCCTTCCCATTGACCATTAATATTAGTTTTTGTTACTTTGATTATATCTCCAATTTCAAGTTTTAATGCTGTCTTATCATATGCGTTTGGTACACGGACTTGTTTAACTCTAGCTAGAGCTGGTAATTTTTTCTGTAAAGAAAATAAATAATTAATAAATAAATGATTTATTTTTGCACATAAATTTAAATAAAATAATTAATATCAATAGACATTCATAATTAAAAACAAAATAAAACTATTATTCAAATGATTCATAAACTACACTAATGGTATTTTAATGGATCTGAGTGATAATTCAATAACATTAATTACAAAATATCATAAATGTTACAAAGTATCAGTAGTTACTTGTTAGATGTATATTAGAAGTAGATCAAACACCAAACACTGCATACATTTTAACTTTGTTGAATCTACCTAGCTTTTTAACCTACTATCAGTGGTGTTTTTGAGGGTAATGGCGTATACCAATTAGTTTGGTCGTTTGGTGGAAAATTATCATTTGTTTAATAATAATAAACCATCATATCAATATCAATAATTTTACAATTATTATCACGGTTATTGATAGTGGATGCTATCAATGTCATAGACTTATGGTTGAGGGACTATATCAACTCGCAAATTTCCACTCTAAACCCATGACACCAATGTTATTGAAAAAAAAATGCATGGCAGATTTTATAGAAGACATACCTATATGGCTATATTATCAGTTGAGTATAATATCGATGGCGTAGCGCACGAGTGTGATAAGTGACATTTTTTTGAAAAATGAGTTAAGTGCATAATCAATTTAATCATACAATTCTGCACATTATGCCCAAACGTTGTAAGTGAATAGTTCATTATTTACTCCGATAGATGTTGTACAGTTCGTTACATTTTTGAATTTGTTATAACATCTCAAACTTAAAAATCGTTCTCCTGAACAATTACGAAAATGTCACTTATAACACTTGTGCGCTACGTCATCGATATGATGTTATATATAATACAATATTCTAAATAAAAAGATTTTTATCATATTACCAATTGTTTTAAAATAATAACAGTTATAATTTTAGCATGTAACTATGTGGAGATCGATTTTTTTATACCTCATACATGGCAGAATGGAATTATGTAATAAAAAGTAAGTGTTACTTCATATGTAAATATGGATAAGAGGAGACATGGCACCTGCATGTGTTGTCTTCATCTTAGAAGTGCGTAACATGGCAAATTTTATGCTCAGAAGATCACTTTTAGCTCTGATAGTTTAAGAATTATAGTGAATTGACCTCTTATAAAATTTAAATGTAAGATTATTATCCAGGCAATGCCATAAACTTTTTATTTTATTTTAATTTTAAAACGAGTTATGAGTGTTATAAACTTGTAAGTTATTTGAATTTTGAACATCTTATAATACTCATAACTCGCTTTAAAACTAAAATATAATAAAAAGCCTATGCCTAGATAATAATCTCACCTTTAAATTGTATAAGATACTTACAAAATACTTCAATTTTTAAACAAACAGAGCTAAACATCATCTGTTGAACATACAATTTGCTATGTTACGTACTTATAAGACGGAGACGACTCATGTGGGTGCCACGTCTGCTTAATAATCTGTGTCAATCAATTACAGGCAGAGATACATCTCACCATAAGCTAAGTTTAGGTTAGACTTTTTTTTTTGAAAGGGGGCTAAGGCCCCAAAGCCCCAATATATGCCTATATGCTGACTGCTGAACGTATACCATAGAAAAAAATTACGAATACATTTCTGCCTACTAGAGTATTTGTATGTATAGTCGAGCCACTCCAAGACCGCTACTCTTACACGCATCCAACTGATTGAACTCCGCGGTATTTCTCCCACTCTACCACCTAGTTGCGGCCGTAAATACACAGGAATGCGCGAGAACGGACAAATTTTGGTTACCGCCCGGAAGCACCATTACGACGGCCTGAGTATAGGAGCTCAATTTATAGTTAAATAAGTTGAATTTGTATACAATTGAGTTTGAATTTAAATAAGAATTTTATATAAATACTATTGATACTATTTCAAAATAAATCATGAAAAAGAGTTAATAAACAAAATTTTATCAAACAATGCAATTAACTTACTTGAAGACTAGACCGCCTTAATGTTGACTCATTATTAGATCCAGGAATTTGATTACTGTCTTTTATTGGTAATGGTGGATTTCCATCATACTAAAATAAAAAATTTATGTTAAACACATATTTGATATATATATTTTTTACTTTTTTTCATAATCAATACTTATACATTATTCATATTTATCAGTGGTCGGGAGTAGCGCGCTAATTGTAGCGACGCTACAGTAGCACGCTACTTTAGCTGTAGCGATTAACATAGCGTCGCTACAGTATATACAATGTAGAGAAAAACTATAGCGCGCTAGAAATTTATGGTTAGCGTAGCGAAAATATTCATTATTTTATCGCTACTTCTAACCTATTTCATGATAATTAAAATATTATGATGTATATTTATTTATTTAATTAAGATGACAAGATGAGTGTATTTTTGATTTTTTCGGGTTTAGCCCGGACCACCGGACTAAGATAAGACCGGATAGATAAGACTATAATCATAAGTGCATTATTACAATGTAATATTTTATATTATTGAAAACAGAACCATAAATAATAATTAATATATTAGTATTTTATCATCACTATTTTTGTTTTCGGCATTCAGCGTTTTCTACTTTTCTGTGTTTCTTTTAAGTTTTAAATATTTTGAATAGTTGAATTAAAAATGACAGAACCTGAAGCCACTACGTCATATTCAACTAGTTAGCAATTTTCAATAAGACGTTTGTTTTGATTTTTGTTACAAAATTACATGAGTTACACTTAATAAACCTGCCTTCCGAAATTACAAGAAAATAGTGGTAGGAATTAACAAATAATGACCAAGTACTCAAGTGAATATCTAAATAAACAAAAATAATTTTTAAAAAAATGTAGCGAAAAAGTAGCACGCTACATTTAAACAATAGCGTTAGAAATAGCGCACTACATTTAAAAAAAAGTAGCTTTAGCGATAGCGAGCTACTTTTTTTAGGGAGTAGCAGTAGCGTTAGTGTGCTACAAAAAAACAGTAGCGTCCCGACCACTGATATTTATATTGTTCACATTATGCTTCAGTCAAATAATGTGTTTAATAATAAACAATCATCCTTTCGAAATAATTTAAAAAATAACTAAGTATTATGACTGTGTAATAAAATCCTTTTTATTAAATCGTAATCATTAAAATGTTGAAGGTAGTTTTTAATTTAAGTATTGGAACCAGATACGAGCTTATAGCTCAGTTGATATACGTATCAGTTATTATTAGTGTAATTTGCTGTAATTAAGTAATTGTAATTGATTTGTTTGAAATAAATAATGTGTCTTAAAAAAAAATACAAAGACAAGTTAAATTATAAAATAATAGAAGTTTACTAGCTGTACAATCTGACTTTTCCCGTGAAAAATTAACAAATATAAAATATGGTGCTATATAGATGTATTTCCGTTTTTGTGAATCTCAACTAAGTGGTGAGTACATAAGTGTATAATTTAACTCTAAAGCATCAAAGTTATACCAATTTTGTAGTTTTTACTCAATTCAACCTACAGCAGCTTTGATATAATTAATACAAAACCCTTATCTAGCCTAACCGTACTAAAATCTGATTTTGTAATCCAAACATTTGTATGTATAAACAAATAAAAAAAATAAAAAAAGGTACATAAGAGGGTACAGCTCAGTATTTGTCGAGCTTAACATTGTAATGGATGTTTTATATTTGAATTCAATGATAAATCATTGTTTACGAAAAACGATTCTGAGAGGAGACATTATGTCATACTTGTACAAATAATGAAAATAAATAGTTGATTTTTCTTTTTATCAAAATATAAAATATATCATGGATATAAATAGTGTGACTTTCCAGTGAACAATTTCATTTTGATAGAGGTAGAAAACTTTGTTGAGAAGCTATTATTAATTTCTTATGTTAGCTATGAAAATAAAACCCTTTAATGAATTTCTAACTAAAAATAATTAGAAAAAAATTAAAAAAATTAGCATTGCTAAAAAGAGTCAAAATAGTTTGAAATTTTTGCCATGTATGGAATAATATGCTAATAGGTATAAATATTTGGCGAATAATTCAAAAGTCTACAGTAATAGATCAATTATTTACCGCTGAATATCAAAAATCGTTCAAAAGCTCATACAAAATTAAAATTCCGTTTAATTACCCTTTCTTTTTTTTTATAGGTAGAATTCAAAATTTTGACAAAATTTGAACTTTGAAGGCATATACAAAATAATCATGCCTATGTGTTTTTGATATTTTTCAACTTACATTATATAATTAATAATGAACCTTGTATTCAATTTTAAAATTTTTTACCATGTAAAAAAGTTTTTATCGAAAATTTATTGAGAATAATTTAAAAAAAAAAAATTTGGGGAAGGGGGGGGCGACGGCCTCTAGCCACCTTTTTGTATACTTAATTACATTGTTTATGCGTAGTGTTCTTGGAAAACGGTCAAAAAATTAGTGTTAAGATGAAGTTATATGGTTTGACCAAATATAATATACCTAAAATTTTCTTTCGTACAAACCTTGTTCTGACAATTGCGAACACAACAAAAAAAAGGAACCAGCCAAATTGGTAGTGTAGTTTCTGAGATTAGCCGTTTCAAAGAATATAAGTTTATAAGTAGTTTCATGTTTATATGGTTAGATACTTAGATAGATAGAATTTAGTTTATAAGTTGTAATAATAAAATATTTAGAAAACTATTATTTAATATAACAATTCAAAGTATGAAATATGAAATATCCTCACTTTTTGAACATATGGAACTGGAATAGAACCCATTTGACCCATAATATTCTTAGCTGTCCACCATTGTTCTTCATCTTTCACAAGAATTGTCAAAATATCACCCTTTCTAAATGGTAGATCATCTTGATCCTAAAGAAAATTAAAAAAAGTATTTTAATATTATATGTATATATGTAAATAATTGAAATAAAATCTTACATTTCCAACAAAGTCATACTTAGCAACAACTTTTTCTATTGGTTTAACAGCAGGTTTCAAGAGAGGAGTAGTGTCAAGGTAGTGTAATTTATAAAATGCTAATAAACTAGGCAAATCAGCAAACATCTGATCACCAATTCTATATTTTGTTTCATTATTTTCTTGTATTTTATTGATAATGTAATGACTAACTTTGCTGTCTTCCCTGTAACATCAATATATAATTTATTAACTACAATTATTGTATACACCAAGTTATGGTCTTAATTGAATAAAAGTACCAATAAATAATTGTATTTAAATTGACAACCACCGATTATAGTTCCTATAATATACATTAAATAAATGACTATTACATATAATATAAAATTTTATTTTAAAATTAATTCATCAAAGAAAATCCAATTGTTTATACTAAATAAATACAATATGTATTATTATAAAAGTACATACAACTTTATGCCACCATATCATGAAGGAAAATAATATTTCATTCGTATGTTGGGTCAGCAACACTTAAACCCTCTGATTGTATAAATTAGTATTGGTATGTTTAGCAGTTTAGATAAGTATTAATAGCTATTATAATTAAATTCCTTTCAAGTCACAAAAAAAGGAATGGCTCAATTTAAAACTGGACAGGTTTGAATATTTCAGTTTAAACAAGTTGTAAATTATAAAGGTTGCATTAAACCAATTTTTGTAATTTTAATTTTCTGTAGCATAAAACTGTGGAAATATAAAAATTTCTGTTTTTAACATTGATAACAAGGTAATAAGAAATATAATTTTCTAAATCTAAGTTTCATAAGAGCATGTAATTTTATTTTAAGTTTTGTTTAAATTAAAAAATATTTTTCTGTAAAAATTGGTTGATTTTTTATAAGCCAAATAAACTTTTAAGAATAGTTTGAACAGAACTAGACCTCTTAAATAATTTATAAGTTATATACCTCACGCATAGCACATAGTCTCCTTGAATACTGAGACTATCTCTAATTAAAAATGTCCCACATTCTCGTTCACCCATCAATAGATCAGAAGCTTCAATACGTGACATTTGTCCGAAATACCAACTAAAAAATAAAACAATGTAAATGTATAGTAAAAAATAAAAATGAACAAATTTAATTTACCTGGCTTTGTTGTTAGGATCAAAACAATGTGCAGCCATATTAAAATTATTTTTTTACTGATTACTACACAAATAAAGTTTGAAATAAAATAAAGAGTAAAATCATAGTATGGTTTTTGATCAGCTTGTTTATATTTTCATGGCTGTTGAAATCCAAATCTGAAAAACAAATGAAGTTATTTTAAAAATAGCATTGCCTAGTTTTGGGGACAAGTGTATTATATTTATTAATACTTATTATTAATAAGAATATTAAATTCCCATACCTTTTTTTTTAACTATGCAATTGTAATATGTTATGTAAATACAATTAATATAAAATGATATATTTAACATTTCTAACATCAATTATTATATTTCTTTGTCTTATTGACCAAAATAAATCTAAATTTGTTTTAAATATACTTAAAATGATTGGGAAAATATGATATATTAACCTTGAGCATAACCTTTCATTATTGATTAAATAATAAATTAAATTCCCTATATTTTGATTGAAATAATGTGTCATTTGTAATTTCTTATTCAAAAACATAGCGTCTATTGATGATGTACAATGATTTCGTATAAGTATGTAGATTATGTTAATTTTTTGTGCATAGATTTTTGTACTCAGTTTTTAAAGTAGATAAGTATACCTAACATAGATAAAAACTTTTTATTGTAAGTGTAGAAAAATCACCAAACAATTATTTTTGATATAGATATTGTTTTTTATTTGATATAGCGATATGATACCTATCGATATATATGAAATAATATCTATACTATACTACTATGAAGAGAGAGACGAGAGAGTATCCTGTCGCCCGACAAACACTCGTCCGATTCTGAGCATCCCCACGCATTTGACTTACACTAATGGCACAAAGTGGGGGAATGTCCGCAGTCTGCATGCCCAAAACGAGGATACTCTCTGGTGGGCAGGAGTATATACTTGATATTTATGCGTACGAAAAAAATCAATGTTAATCGTGAATGTTTAAACACATTTGTTCACGTTCTTCAAAAAAACCAAACACTCATCAGGTTATTTATTTTATAAATCTTTAAATAAAACTTTTAAATGATATAAATAATTTTAAGACTAAAAAAATACAACATTTTAAAATCAATACATTCATTGATCTGCTCAGAATCTAAAATATCTAATATTTAGGTTATAGCTTAAAATATTAAATGTAAAGTTAAATTTAAAACTATCCTTCCAAATTTAACAATCCGTATAACTTTTATTAATCATAAAAAAGTGGGTAAGTAGATACCATTTTGCTATACAGTAGATGTCGAGCGTACCTCGTCATTGGGTAATTCACTGTAATGGTCAATGGGTGTGTTAAATTTGAATACGATAATAAATCAGTGCATACAAAATAAACATTTTGAGTAGTCGAGCAGGGACGGTGAACCAATAATAACAAGTATATTTTATGATAAATTTATATTGTTATACTTGTTAATTTATTTATTTTACTATTAGCAATACCTACAGTGCCTAGATAAAAACATTTTTTTTTTTATATTGAGTTTAAGCTGTTTGAAAAATTGTTTAAATGTTTGAAATAAAATTAACAAACAAAATAATGTTGTTGTTCTTGGTGTGTTTTAAAAACACTTTCTCTGCCATTGCCACTAATCACTATCAAGTATCAATATTCACCTAGAATTAAATGATCTTATTAAACAGTGAATTGAGTCTTTAGAAATAAATGATCAACATTTCAATTGATCGTCAACTTGATTTGTAATTTGTAACCTTAGATAATAGAGCATTCTAGTAACTATATTGCGTTAGTTTAGGACTATGACTTATTGATATTATAATGTTGAGCTTACCGGTCAACGTGAAACTTTAAAGAACGACAATATGATGTGCAGTCATGCCATTGCGTATAACTCGGGTGTAGAACGTCTTTTTGACCAGAACAGTCTGATAACTCTGATTTCGTCCGGGGCAGTGTAAAAGAACGAAATGAAAAACTTCGAGTGCCCAGCGCCCGAACACGCACCTAACCCAACGGAACAGCGGTCAGCGCACGCGATGAGGGGAGTAAACAATGCCGATTTTGGGTTCAAAATGATGGTGATGATGACGGCGGCGGCGACGGCGGCGGTGGTTCCGTAGTCTTATAACGAATAGTAATGATAAAAGTGATTAATATAATATGTAATATGCACGTATTCGGTTTTTGTACACCGCCGGCGCTGGTCCAACACAGTTTTTAAATGAAATAATAATAATAATACAATCACGAAAACGAAACGCATAAACGCCGCGTTAGTTGTAGCCTACGAATTATTACGATTCCAAAGTCCGCCGTACTATCATCACACTATATAATAATAACAATCATCTGTCGGTGTTGTACGAGGTACACAAGGTCCACCTCCTCCTCTACCAACACCAGGTCATCATCCTGCTACTACTACTCCACAGTCGCCGACACTCATTAAAATTATTTTATCGCAAAGATAACAACAGAGCGGTTTGTTATCGACGTATTTTAACGACGAGCCGGAAAAAAAAATAATAAAAAATAATGATGTTACGTAGCCACAGATAATATGGTATTATGTAGATGTACAATTTTTTATATTTGGTTTTTCACGTTAATTAGAACGTTTTTAGTGTGATGGCGGTCAGTGGCACAACTAGGAAATTTTTTCTAGATATTTTACAAATTTATCTAACTTGTATCTAACTGGTTTGGCACACGAATCGTTTATTCTGATTTTGGGTTTCTGATGCGAATGTATAATTAATGTATTCAGACTTTCAATCACCGGAATAAAACATTTGAACAAACGTTTGGTGTACCTACTCATAAATTCATAACCGTTCATATGCGGACGTTAAGTAGGTAGTTTAGGAAAAACTATAAAAAAGTATTTAACTAATTTTTAGCTGATATGAGGTAGTACATACCTAATTGGAATTCGTATTAATTATTTCGTATATTCAACTCGTACATTTTTCTTTTCTCTGAAGCTAGTGTAGCTGATAGTTCCCGTACATTTTACCACTTATTAGTCCTCATAAGACAGCCGACAATTAACCGCATTAATGTATAATATATTGCCTATGCAAATCTAATCAAGGGTTTTAATAAAAAATATTTATTTTTCAGACATAATTCAGGATTCACGTTGGATGAATATTAATCATTATTATTGAGATTGTACTATTAAATATTAATTAAGTTAATATCAATTACAATTTAAACAACAAGTATCAATTAGGCACATTATGTACCTATCTAATTTCAAAAATTACTTTTATCTTTAGAAATTATAACCTAATGAAAAATTTTGAAGTATTTTACTATTTTAATCTATCCTCTGTTCAGCGAGAAACCGCACAGCTCACCGACGACCAATGGCAGGATGATGCGTGAGGGAACCGATTTCGATAGAATGGTGACACAGAGGGATGCGCAGAATCAGCGAGTTCTCTCGCTGAACAGAGTATAGTATGAATACCTATGTTTGCGTAAAAAAATAATTATAATATACTACAAGATTACAAATATCACCATTTATACAGAGTACAGGCATGATAACATTTTTATTTCTAATATAGTAATATTAATATAGGTATATAAAATAATATATAAACATTATATATTTAACTATTAAGAGATAACATTCGAGGTAGGCAAAAAATACTGTTATTTTGCATTATAACTGTAACTATATTTACATTTTTGAGTAATATAACGGTAATAACATTATACAACATTTATAAAAGAAAACTAAGCAACATTGTCTTTTAGATTCTGAGTGGAAAGATGAATGTATTGATTTTACAATGATGTGTGTTTTTTTTTTATATTTTTGTGTCTGTCATCACGTTTTAGGACAGTAAAAGTGCTTGGATTTTCTTCAACAGTATCTTTTTTGATAGGAAAGTGAATCCAGTTGGTACTTTGAGGGGGTCAAAAGTAAAAATTTCCCAGTAGTTTTCACAAGCGCCGGGAAAAACAACATAAAAATTAAGGAAAAACGGGAATTTTTACGCAAATCGATTTTGGTTTTTGGTGTAACTTTAAAACAAATGATCGTAGATACATGATATTTTCACTGGTTGTTTAAATTTGCATTTTCTATACACGATAACATTTTCAAAATATTTTGATTTATTTTGAACTAATTAGGGACATTTTCATTTTCCATGTTTTTTAGTTTTTTTTTCTAAAAATATCAATAAAATGTTATTTGTTGGTTAAAAAAGCTTGAAAATTTAATAGAAGGCTAATAGTATATTGTTTCAAAGGCAGATGAAAAATATTAAAAATTCTTAGTCACAATTTTTTTTTATAAGCATCTAAGATTTAAAAATGTAATACAAGATTCCTTATAAGATTGTCTATCTTTATCAAAAAGAAAATGTCTATAAGAAAGTCAAATTAAATTTTTGTGAGCATTTGAAATTAAAATTTTTACAACATTGGATAGGTATTCACTCGATTTCTCATGTAGCAATTTCCTTATTTTGTTGTACTTCAAAAACGGATAACTGTAGATACATGATCATTTCACTGAATGTTTATATTAGAATTTCCTATACACCATACAATTTTGAAAATATTTTAACTCTTTTTGAGCTGTTTATGGACATTTACAGCTTTCAATTTTTTTTAGTTTTTTTCTATAAATATCAATAAAGTTTTATATGTTGGGCCAAAAAGTGTAAACATTTAATACAAGGCTCCTGATATATTGTTACAATAGCAATTGAAAAATATTAAAAATAAATTGGCACAATCTTTTTTATAAGCATTTAAAGATCGAATTTTGACAACATTTATCAAAATGAATCGAAAATTATCAATCATTGTAATTAATAAATTATAAAATGTTCAGTTTTTATAGCTAAGGATCGCAAATTTAAAACAAAGGTTCTCATAAATAGTTCATACTGTAACCAAAAAATCTAAAAAATATATGAACACAGTTATTTTTTACAGACATTTTAAATTCAAATTTGGACGAAATTATATAATAAGAAACCAGCTAGAATAACTATTTTAGTTATGTTGTTGTGTTTGTATAATATTATTCGTGGGTACTTGAAACTTCTAAAGTTTACTACTATATATATCTATGATAGTATCAGGGTTTGTTGTTGGTGTATAACGCGTTATAAGTACCTAATGGATATTGTGATCTGATTAATTTTGAATTCATTATAGGGCAATTTTTTTAATACCATAGATAAGTATATAATTTGTCTTATACCTAGAAGGACATACCGTCTCCGCTCAGAATCGTTTTTCTTATAATATATTTTATTATAATATCACTGAATTCAAATGTAATACCATCCATTATACAGTGACCCACTTGTAACCTACTGTACAGCAGAGTGACACCCACTTGCCCACCTTTTTTTTTAATTTAGACCAACTCATCATGAGGTATCTTGTATTAAATTTTCAAATCTTGGATTTAAAATACAATTTTTATTGATTTCTAACACAAAATAATTTGCATATTTTCGTCATTTTTACGTATTCAGTCAAAATTCGAACTCTAAATGCTTTGTAATAAAAATTGTGACTTTGTGTTTTTAATCTTTTTCAACTGATATTGTAACAATATCAGGAGCCTTGTATTAGGTACATTTTTATGATTTTCTACCCAACGAATAACATTTTATAAAAATTCATAGAAAAAAAAAACTGAAAAATTCGAACTAAAAGTCTATTAACAGTTCAAAGAAATCAAAATATTTTGAAAATTTGATTGTGTATGGAAATGCTAATATTAACAACCAGTGAACATTTCATGTTTCTACGGTCATTTGTTTTAGAGTTACACCAAAAACCAAAATCGATTTTGTCGAAAACGTCTTTCAGTAAAAATTCCAGTTTTTTATTTTTTGGTTTTTCACGGCGCTTTTTGCACATTTTGACCTCCCCAATGTACTTACTAGATTCACTTTCCCATTGAACAAGATACTGAAGTTGAAAATCGAAGCATTATTTCGACTATACTTATCGTATACAAAGAAATAATAAAAATTTAAAAAAATAAAACACGCATCATTGTAGAATCAATACATTCAGAATCTAAAATGATTTGGTAGGTACCTAGTTAAAAAAGGTATAAAATGTTGAAATTTTATAAATTAAGGATTGGAAATTTAAAACAAAGTTATAATACATAATTAGGTTATTCCGTGGCCAAAAAATCATAAAAATTAAAAAACAGCTTTTTAATAGTTATTTTATGTTCAAATTTGGATGATTTTAGTTATTTTGATACAATTTAAAATTAGTATTTGTTTGTACTTGACATTTTTCAAGTATATTATTGGAATATGATAATATGCAAATAATATTAATTTAACTTACTGACTACCATATTAATAATAATAATAATAAAAATATTTTATAAAATATCCTAGGCTGACAAACCATCTCCGTTCAGAATCGTTTTTCGTAACATTGACATTATATCATTGAATTCAACTTTAATACCATCCATTACAATGACCCACATATACTTTTTGTATATCCTAGTATACATAATCTGTGGTAATATATATTATATAGGCTGACAGACATCTTCGCAAAAATCGCTTTTGTTCACAACGATTGTATACATTCGAATTCAAATTTAACACATCCATTACAGTTACCCACACGTAATGTACAAAAAAACAGTACTCGCATGACCACTTTTAGATTCTGATCGGAGTGATGAATGTATTGATTTTACAATGATGTGTGTTTATTTTTTTATTATTGTCTATCATCACCTTTTAGGACAGTAAAAATGCTTAGATTTTCTTCAATGATAGGAAAACGAATTTAGTTGGTACTATAGGGGGTGGGGGGGGGGGTCAAAAGTAAAAGTTTCCCAGTAGTTTTCAAAAGCGCAGGGAAAAAAAAGCAAAATGAAGGAAAAACGAGAATTTCTACGAACAATCTGTTTTTGAGAAAATCGATATTGGTTTTTGGTGTACTTACCTCAAAACATAACATATATATGTTACAGTGAAAGTACGAATAGCGGTAAGACCTAGGATTTACCCGTAAATCCTAGGTTTCGCCGACTGCTGCCGGTAATTTTTTTATAAATATCAATAAAATTTTATTTGTTTGGTAAAAAAGCGTGAACATTTTATGCAAAGCTCCTGATATATTGTTACACTGGCAGTTGGAAAATATTAAAAATACATATGCACAATTTTTTTTATAAGCATTTAAAGTTCGAATTTTGACAACATTTAATAATAATTTTTTAGTTTCAAATTTATAAAATGTTCAACTTTTATAGCTAAGGATTTAAATTTTAAAACAAGGCTTCACGTAAATAGCTAATAGGTAAGTACTAAGTATATACAGTATTTTATTCACAATAATATCATCAAATATACTTAGTAATATCATAGGCTGACTGACCGTTTTCGCTCAGAATCGTTTCTTATACAACTATATTATATCATTGAATTCAAATTTAACACCATCCATTACAGTGACCCGATTGTAATGTACTGTACAGCAGAGCGACATCCACTGACCCACTTTTTTTTCATATGATTGGTTATAAGAGATATTGTTAATTTGATAAGCATGTTATTTCCAAAAAAATGTATGTCACTACCTTAATTGGAGGATGTATTTTGATCTTTCTCAGAAACGTATCAAACTGAGAGGTTGTAATTGAAGTTTTAAAATTAACTGATATTATCCTCCTTGATATTTTTTTCTGTTAACCTGTAATTATTGTAATCACCTGATAGGTAAGGTGGTTCTTGTTGTGCCACTGGCTCTAACTATAAATCAGTAATCAACAAAAAAAAGTTCTAATACCGCTAAAATAGATAACCAGTGTGTGGTTAAAAACTAATATTATTTTACAAATACATAAGCACCACTTTATTATAGAGAAAAATGTACATTAAGTAGGGTCCTTAAGGACCAGATCTGGTTAAATTTTTTCAAAAATAAAGTACTTAAAATACTTTTTACATAATAAAAAAATAATTTTTAAACATTAAAATAATAGTAATATAATAAGTAGTATTTAATTTCATAATTAAATATTTAAATTCGTAGATTTTTAATTTTAAGTTCATTTAATACAGTATTCCGTTTTTTATGTTGTTGTAGGAGTGTAGATCTTTTTTGATAAACATCAGGGTACATTTTTTGAAACTAAAAAAATAATAACAATAAATGAGTATTTTTGATTAATATCCAAAATATGTACAATTATTATAAAAAAAAACCAAAATGATTTTTTTGAGTTACTTTAAAGTTTAAAATGTTAAAGACTAGTATCATCACTTACTAATTTTATACGTTTACTTTTTTCTTTACTAGACATTGATGTACTACTTATGATTTGATCCAACAATTCAATAAGGGCTTCTTTAGATTCAGTGCTTCTTTGTTTTTCGAATTCTTTGTCTGATATTCTAAGACAATAGTGCATACTATCCTAAAATATAGAATTATCATATTTTTTGAACTTATATTATATTTTTTTCTTCGTTATTATTATTGTGATAACAAAGATTTATTTAGTAGTGTGTGTATATGGATATATTATAAATTTATGTTTTATATATTAGACAAGTTAATAAGTACAACATATATTTATCAATTCAAGTCAACTTTTTCCTAAAGGATGCATCAATATTATACATATTTAATACCATATAAGTAGAATTTTTTAGAAAACACACTGTTTTACAATGAATTTGACTAGAAAATAGTGCAGCTGTTGCATTTTTTTAAAAATTTTTTAATATAATAATATTTATTTATTATACATTTATAATAAATTTTTTTATTTTTATATATTTATTTATATTTTAACATGGACACCTAATAGCTGTGGTGATACCTATTAAGTACACACAAAAAACGAAAAAATAATAAATTGTTGAAAACATGTATCAATCAACTTCCCACACATTAAGTGCTAGTTTTGGAAACCTTGACGAGAAATCGCAGTTTTATAATGGACTATCGAATCACATTTCTAGTGAATCAATTAACAAATTGTATACTTTTAACATATACTAACCTTAAACAATTTATCATCATTACTAAAAGAATTGAACTTTTCTGATAAAATTGAATCAGTTTTAATAGGTAAAAATATTAATTTTTGACTGTGAAGCAAAAATTTGACAACATCAGTAGCTAAACAGTCATATTCAAATTGATTAATATTTTGTCTCAATACTGCACAAAATAATTTATCAGTTATCTGAAAAAAATATAAGTAAAAACAATATTGTTAATTTAAATATATTATATATTATACCACAAATGAATCTCATATTTATTTTATTTAAAACAACTTTGAAATTTTAAATGTGACTATTACAACTTGTAAGATAGAGTTTTACTTATTTATAGTTTATATTATTTTTCTGATTAATAAAAATTATCAATTATATTATTCAGATGTTTTCAATGTGCCAGCATTAAAAGGCCATCGCACCCGCATGTGTTGTCTCCGTCTTACACATGGACAACATAGCTAATTTCCATTCGCTAGTTTTGACAGGGTGATTTAAGTTTTGATATTAGAGAGAATTTATCTATTTTCAAACTTTTAAGTAATAACATTATTTGGGTTCTCTTCTTAGTATTTTACAGTATTTTAATTTTAAGGGAACTATAAGCATTTTTGAATATTAATGTTGCACATACTCATAACTCACTTAAAAAACCAAAAATGAACACAGATAATGTTGTTACTTAAAAGTTTAATAATAGGTCAATTTACTCTAGTATCAAGACCTAATCTTATTGAAATTAGCGAACGAAAATTTGTTATGTCTAACGTATATAAGAATGATACAGCACATGCTGGTGCAACGTCATCTTAAATCTAATATTATATAAATTCAATAAAAAGACCTTTTTTTTAGACATTTAAATATTAATATATATAATGATAATAGATATTTTGTATTTGTAATAATCAATATTAGAAATTTTTATATTATTTATTAAAAACTAACTGTAAATCACATTTTTAAATATCAAAGTTCTATGCAGGGCTAAAATTTGGATTTCCAAAGTATCTGAGATTCAAATCAGAACACCAAGCTTTAATTATTGTGCCCTGAATATATACATTCATAGCCATATGAAACGCACTTTAAATATATGAGCATTATAATTAGTATAAAAAAGTTTCACAATCAATTGTTGCGTATAATATAGATAAAAAACATTAGTACAATACCTTAGTGTAAGTTGAAGATAGATGAGAAATAAACTTTAAAAATACTTGTAATTTTGCTCTATTCAATGGTGGAAGACATAGACTTAATAATTGATATAAAAGAATTCCCAAATGTAAAGATTTTTCATTCAAACCTAAAAATAATTAATTATTGTTCATTTATAATATACTTTCAATTTAAATCAAATGTTGTATGTTACAAAAAGATACATTTATTAATTAGTAATTTAATAAAATTATATTAAGCTCATAATGTTTTACAAGTTATTACTTCTATGTAAGTTAATTATCATACAATATTAATCTCAAGCATTTAAACTTCAGGACAACTTTTTTTTTTTTAATTTGACATAGTATAAGTGATACCTTATATTGTTAGATGGATTTTGAAACTTCTCTCAAAATTGTTAAATATAATATTAGCAGTTTCGTATTAATATATTTTAATATGCAATTTCAATATTTAATCATACCATTAAATGATTGGTGTTTAAGAATTTGTGTGTGGTCCATTTGTGTTATATCAATTAGTTTATGAAGAGTAGAAATTGCCATATCTAAATCAAATCCATTGGTATCATCATTACTAATTTTTTCAGATTGAAAAAGTCCAAAATTAACATATCCAGAAGTAGATGGACAAACAAATTTATCATTTTCCAATGGTTTATTTTTAAAACCATACTCGTCTGAATAGAAGCTCTCTTCAAGTTCATTTAAATTTTTTGGATTAATTGAGTTATTAGATATTGTGCGACCAATTTTCCTCTTCCTAATTTTTTCCATATTTCTTTGATAATAGGATTGTGATTTTACAGATATTTCTGGTGAACTGATTGTTCGAGTTAACTTCGGTTTTGAATATTTATGTGAAATATTTAATGGTTTATGTTCCATTTTACTTTGTTCTATTTCACATGATTCAAAAAATGATGTACTGCTACAACTACTGACAGAAGACCTGGAAAGTGATGATACTTGCTGTCCGGAAATATCAAAACACTTATTAACAATACATGTTTTTGAGTGATCGGTAGAAAATTCAGTTTCCCAGCACATGTTTGTTGATAATTGAGTTGAATTATTATTTTCTGTATGCTTTAGATTCTTATTACACATATGATCATATCTTTCAACCACAACCAAAATAGAAATAAATATCTCATAAAAAGATATAGGAATCAGAGGTTCCTCTGAGTTTAAAAAATAATCCTTGATTACAGTATAAACATCGGCTTTAAATCCAGGATAAGTACACTCATTCATTTCCATATCTAAATAATAAAAATAACAAATCATCAAACAATTATGAATTTATTATAGTTTAGATACAGATTAGGTTTTAAGTTTGTTCCACAAATTTAAAATATTATATTTTGTTGATAATATTTTTAGAATACTTTTTTTTTAATTTTTGCAATAAATACATGTAAGTGAATACAACCAAGGCATAGGTGCAATATGAAAAGCAGTTATACTATACCTACAAAATAGTTAATAATTGTAATATTTACTAGAATATTTAATAACATAATATAACAGATGGTCAATAAAAATGAATAGCAAATCATTAATTTAGCCTTGGTAAAGTTATATAAATATAGATTGATACATATTATCTTATATGCAGAATTTTTATTAAAATTTCTTTATTGGTTCAACATTTGTAAAATATCTTATGTAGGTACATTAGAAATATATTATATATATATGAATTGTAATTTAAATACATATTGCAATTTTATACTTACTAAAGTTTTGATCAAAATAAAATAAAAACAAATTATAAATGTTTAAACATTATTATTTATGCTAGAAACTAATATTTAATTATAGAATATTATAGTTACCAGATGTTAAGCTATCCATAGCAGACTTTACCCAATTAGGAAATAAACCATCAACATTATAATCTTGATTATAAATATTCATGATTATCCACTGCTTATTTAAATTTTCGGTATTTAAAAAATCATCCATATTAAAACTTTTAAGTATATTCTGCAAACTATAAATCAAGAAACAATATAATGTTTAAATTTATATTTTTATGAATAAAATAAATGTATTATTCAGAATAATAATTCTAGTTATTTTTTCTCAAAACCTTAGGTATTCACTATACCAGGGGCTGGCAATTAAATCCTAAGGGGTCATCCATTTGAAAACTTAATTTTGAGGTCCAGAAAACCTTAAGACACATAATGAAAAAGAAATCTGCATTAAAACAATATATTTTTGGAGGTCCATTTGTCTTTCCACCTATTGCTGACCTTTGCAATATACTTTTAAAATTGTATTGTATGCCAAACAATAATTATTTGTTACTTTCATTATATATGAAAAAAAATGTAAATAGTTAAACTTGATTTTAGAGTAGTAGCCAGATTTGATTAAATAAATAGTTAACATTTGAATTGTAGGCATAATTGTTTAGATTAATTAGTAATTTAAATTATTAACCATCAATAAGGTAACCAATTTTTAATACAATTATATAAAAGAAAAATGTATAGTATGGATGGATTAAAAACAGTATACCTATACAATAGATAAATATTTACTTTTGTATGATGAAATTAGCAATTTTATGATTTTCATTTAAATATGTGTTCATTGCAACATTTTCCATTGAATAAGACTTCATTCTATGACTACTTATAACTTTTTCACTTCTTTTGGGTTGAGGAGACAACGATTGAGGTTTATTCATAAGGAATACATTTAATGAAGATAATACAGATCCTTTACTGATTGTTTTGTTCATATTCTTTGGTAATGCAAATCTGAAACGATGATATAAATTTTTAGAATTAGGTTAGTTAATGTTGATAAAAATGTATAATAAAGCATTTTACTTTTAACTATTTTACATTTAAATGTGTTGTTTTAAAAAAAAGAATAACTAATTTAAGCAAGGCTCGGAACTTAATGCATTTTCATATTTCTAAGAAAGCTGCATATTTTTCAAAATGTAATTTTACACAAATTTGTTTCATGGTACATACAATGAAAATACAAAAATTCATGTTGCATATTTTTACACAATTTACTAAATTGATATGATTTTGCATATTTAAAGATTTTAAGCATATTAGGTAGATAATAAATCAACAACAAACAAAATTTTGATTCATCGAAAATTGTAATTTAAATAATTTAAAATAAAGAACCAGCACACAACGTCATCTTGTCTATATTTTGAGTTATACCTACTATATGAGGAGTATTAATAAATATAATAACATGATATTATTATAAGTTATTCATTGTAGTTCTTACAGTTAACTTTTTTAAATTTAAGACTAATAATAAAGCTTCAAGATCTACAAAAAAATAATATACATAAACAATTTGTACCTAAATAAAAATTTTTAAAAAAATATGAATAATTATGCTTTTTCCAAGTTTATTCCCATACATAAAAATATTTTATGAAAAAAAATAAATGCATATTTGAAATCTTTTAGTGCATATGTATACATATTATATTTTATTGTTTTTAGTACATACAGTTCTGAGCCCTGCTTATTAGATATGATTGATGAAAAAAATATTGAATGACAACAATTTAAAAACATTGTAAATAATAACAGTTGTGCCTCATATTATTTTCTTGTCCTTGGTTAGGTTAGGTTAGATTAGTTATATAAATAAAACTTGATTTATATTTATCTCCCTTTATATTTAAGGGTTGAACTCTGGCTTTTGGGTAAGGAGAAAAAAAGTTATTATTGTAAGTAATAGTTATTTTAGCGTACCTATTATCAAAAACTAAAAAAGGCAATCTTTATAAACTTGATTATTGCTTGGCTTAAAGTAAGACAATTTAAAAACTACAATACTCACTCATATAATTCTGACTTATCCTTAAATTTTGTTGATGTTGTACTAACTGCTTTAAAAATTTCAGCTTCAAAAAACTTATTCATTAATGCTACTATTTGTTGACGTGTAACTCCTTTATTAAACAAATATTGTAATTTCCCAGAAGATGCTTCATTGTACATCCAATCAACTGCTTCAAATCCCGTGAAACAGTTGTCTCTAAACCAAAGTTGGTACCGATGTGATTTTAACGGCATACCACTTCTGAAATGGTCGACTAATGCTTGCCACTTAACAAAATAATTAAACCATTAGGTAACAATAAACATAGTTGACAAGTTAAACTTACAGTTTCCGTGGCTCGGAATTGAGAATACGTTGGTAAGGTTGGAATATTTGAATAATTTGACATTTTAAAATGTAGATATGTGAACAAGGTATTTTAATTATTTAATATAATTTAAAATGTAAGCCTAGACAACGTATATTATTAGCGTAACACCTAAACGTCGATTAATCATAATTACAAATCAAATGCATTTAAAAAAATATGTTTCGGACATTTCGGTAGAATAATTATGAGAGCACAACACATACAATAACTACATTTAAAAAAAAAACGTTACACTTGTCGTAAACTCGTACCGTCGTACACCCGTTGTCTTGGTGTTGTCAACAATAACAATGATAATGATAAGCGGGCGTACTGCGCATGCCCAAACAGCTGCAGGGGGGAATGTGCAGAGTAGAACACTTGAACCACGGAATAAGACTAAAATATTTTATTGAACGTAGAAGCAATTATACAAAAATCTACAATATTTACTCTTGTTTTCTGAGACAGATAGCGCTCAAGATACCTCAGTAGCACAAGGCAGTGCATTGGTTTGATTTGATTTTAAAACTTCTCACACGAATAAAAAATTATCACTTGATTCATGGTCGAGTGAATTAAATTAAGGTAAATTTATGTATTACCAAACACCTTTATTTTAAATTTTTTTTTGTTTGACGCATGTGGTTGTGAAAATACCATAAATTTCAATTAGCAATAACTTTCAGACCGCCAAATTCTGACTTCACCATCGTTTTCACTTTTCGACATGTTTATAACTACATATTTTAAAACAATAAAAGTTCCAATAAAAAGGATGCCTGGTAAAACAGAAAAGTTCCTAAATTAATTACGTTTCGATATTTATTATTTTACTAGGTACCTATTTGGCTCAATCCGGCTGTAACGACCATTAAATATAGTTATGATATTTCTATCATAAATATTCATTATGCAAACTGTATTTTGAGTACCTACCTACTAGTTGTTACAGAGTTTATTATTATTACCATATAATTTATATGTGAGTATTGTGATTTGTGACAACTAGATATATACACAACCTAGTTGTTTAGTTGTTACTTGTTATAACACATGAAATGATGTTAAAATAATTATAACTCGCCTCTAATCTCTGTACAAAGTTAATGATACCCGTATACATATTACATATACATCGTATATTCGTACATATTTTATGTACTCGTAAGTCGTATTTTAGTAGAATGTATCAGAGCTGCATTTACGGGGTGGTCAACCGAGTGGCTCGTACCTACCCACCAAAAAGCAACAAAACAAATATGGGTCACATACTCACAACCAGGGCTTTAAGTGAGAAAAAATCCCAAAGTGGACTAATGTCTCCTATAGTCTTAAGCGTTCCATACATAATTCTATACATAAAGTCTGATGTATAAAATCCTAATTTGTTAAAGGGGACTCTTTTTAACCCGTGGTAGGGGGACTGCGCCCCCCCTCACTTTAACCCCAGCTCACAATCCATTACCAACGTCCTCACTTGAAATTTGTAAGCGCAATGAATGCGAATTTATTGGTTTTCCAATGATGTAGGTATATTGTATATTTGTATATATAATATTATTTATATTAAATTATATTGTGACACTTTTATATTAAAAAAAAAAAAATCAATTTTGTTTTTTGGTGTAACTCTAGAACTAATTCCCACTAGGTGTATAATATACAAAGGAAAAAGGAGATACTCTAAGGACTAAGACCTAAGTCTAATGACAAACATAACACGCTACTCAATATTTTCTATTTCGAAGAACATTTATGAATCATAATTCATAAATATGTATTATGAATTAACCATTAATTGTAGGTAGGTACTAGGTACACAATTACGTATATACCTAGATGGAATTAGGTAATTTTTACATTTTAATCGTTTCTATGGTATTAAATAAAGCGTTACTCAAAATCGATTAGAAAATAAAAATAACTACCCAGATCAAAAGTATATTTATGTTAAAACAGTACTTTTGGTTTCAAAATTAAAAATTCCTAGTACATTTTTAAAAAGTTAGGAAACTAAACAATTACTGAAAAACTATAATATTTACGCAACCCAATTTTTGATAAATAATCGATTTTACTTTTTGTTGTAATTTAAAAACGAATAATGGAATATATTATATAAGCATTTTCTAGAGACAAGAGACTAGATACGGAATAATTCTCAAAATGTTCAGTTTTTTTATTTTTTTTTCTATAAATTTTGATGAAAATTGTATCCTCGGTCAAAAACTTTAAAACATATAAAATAAGATATCTTAAATATTAAACTTATATTTATAATATATTAATATAAATAGTACGACTGTACGAGTACGTATGAGTATTAACAAAATTACAAATATGTACAAACTATTATTACCTATTATATGGCTGCATATATTTCAAATTTGCAAAATGTTCAATTTAATAATAGCTAAGTTCTTGAAAAATTGAATACAAAGTTCCTCATAGAATTTTCTTACTGCAACCTAAAAAGACATGTGTACATATTTTTTAGAAAATTATGTAGGTTTAAAATTACTAAATTGCATGCATAAACGAAAAATAAAGTTGTGAATTTTTAGTTGTTATTTTGTCGTAATTTAAAAAATATTATTCCTAAGGACTTGAACTATTTAGTATTTTAACCATTACGTACTTATATTATTATTTAAAATACTGAATACTACATTCACATATTTTAATTAAATACAGTAAGTAATTGCAGTAATTTACAAATAATTTATTTACATTTAAAACTCTAGTCTGAAGACATAATTATTAATAGGTAGCACTTGGCTAGTATAAAATTGTAGAATATCAATCTATGTAATATTTAAAAACCCATTTGTATTAATAATATTATTATTTTTAATAATTTAAAGAAAGAATTACCTATTGTTGTGGACTATTCATCAACTATTGTTTGTGAACTATTCATCAAGATCATGTTCTAGCGGTCAATTATAATGCTGTTATGACCTCATAATCTTATCGGATCTATAATAAAATACAAATTTAAAAAAATCAACATTTATTAATAAGTAATAACTATAGATAAAAAAAAATAATCTTACCTACTGCAGTTTATATCACCTTATTAATACATTCATTCATCGTTAATAATATTATATATTTATGTATAAACTAGAAATGAACAATTAATTTCAGAAAAAATGGAACTTGCGAGTTGGGGGACAGAAGTGCAAATATATTACCAATCCATAATATCTTACGTCAACGGTTAATGTATACAATATTAGTCAAAACGTAGAAGATAACTTTAATCTAACCATTACAATAGCTACAACTATTTATTATTTGAGTAGGTACCTCAAGTCTCAACTAATTTTTCAACGTTCCACTACTATTTTGTTCGAATCGAAAAGCATAGAACCTATACTAAGTGTGGCAGATAAGTTATTTTAGTATTAACATGTTATTTCGGCTAATTTGTCTTTGATATTGATTATACTTTGTAAATTAGGTACCTACCTACCTATTTGAATTGCAATTAGATATAATATAGTTATTAAACAAAACAAAAAAATAATAATCGTAATTTTATTATGTCAAGAAAAATAATTCTGTATCATCTGTTACACCAAGAATCACGATAATAATATAGTACTATATAGTACCTATCTATATTACATATTATAATATTATTGTCATGGTGCAATGGTCTGTCGTCAGCGAAGGGTATCGGTATGTTTTTATGGAGCATCCTGGACTCTGGTATAATACTACATCATCCTGTATTCCTGTTAATTGTTATGGACTTGTTATTATTAATTATTATGACTCTAATGTGAATCAAAATTATAAATACCTACCTATATATATAATATTTAACTTTAAGTTTATTTTTAATTAAATAGGTAAGTATAATTATTTTATACTTATCAGTTATCAGCTATACAAATGTACATTTTCACATTTGTACTACCTACCTACCTTTATATTATATTATATATAAGTCAGTTAACATTAATAAATAACTTGTTATTGTTATTTTACACAGTGATTGCATAGTATAATATATAATATATATTATATTTTAATGGACAATGGCGGTGGAGAGGATAAAACTCCGACATTAATTGAAAGAGTAGGTACCTACGGGCTACAGGGAATGGAAATGCGAATATGCGATAAAGGCATTACATTATTACACAGTTGATGTGTGAGTAAAGATTAAAGAGTAATTAGTAATAAGTTTCATCGGTATAGCCGTATAGGCATGACAAATTAGATCTAATTTGTCATGGGTATATAGGTACATAAAGTTGTGTAGGTACTTGTGTGTAAATATATGAAGCAAAGGCCACTAAGAATTTTATGAAGGGTCAACACAGAGTCTGATTTTTGTTTTGGTTCTGTTTTTAAAACAATTATAAGATTTGCCTGTGTCAGGAAAAGTTGAGTTTTTTTGTCTTTTTGTCCTATGCAGTATAAGAAACAAATACAAAATAACTCGGAAAGAAATAAAAATATAATGTATACAAATAAAAGTAGGTTCCTAGTTAGACAAATTATTATGCATCAGTAGGTATTTTAGTAGGTAAGAAAAACAATCAAATATAATAGGTAACGTACCTATATATTTTATGCGATGAATCATGAATGTATTTTATCTACCTACAGCGATATAATAATATATTATACCTACGTACTATTATGTTTACCGTAAGACATAGACACCGGTCAGCATACTAATTTTTACCAATTTAGATAGTTAGATACCTATGGCCAAGTACCAATTTAAAAGGATAGATACCTAAATAATACTAATAGATAATACAAAAACGTACAAGTATAATAAAACTAATATACTAGTATATTATTATGATATTGCTATAATTAAAGACGTTTTATCATCGTATTGTTTTCAATGTAATTTCTAATATTAATATTAGTTTGTTAGGTTTATTCTTCTCAAAAAATATAATATAGTTGTCTAATATAATATTATAATACCCGTATGAACTATAATAGGTAGGTAATTATTTAATTTTCAGCTAAAACATATTTTTAGAAATAACCAGAGCAGGATGATCCTTTTTTTTAAAGTACTTGGGTTACTTATCAATACCGATCTCAACTTGCGCCACCCTCGACACCCCCCCCCCCCACAAAAAAAAAAATAAAAAAAAAAATAGAAATACCATTTGTAATTGTGACTATTTAGAGAACGAAATAAGAAATTATATAATATTATTAATTTTTATAATATATTATAACCATATATAGGTATTAGCATTGATTATTGAGTTTATATTGTATATTGTAAATATATACTAAGGCTCAATGGTATTAGCCATTAGGCATCAGCTCCTGCCTCCTATAATCTATATGCAATACGCTGCATAGAAGATCGCGTAAAATGCAATTATAATTTATTATTACATTTAGCACAATAAAATGCGTTCAATTCGATTTTGCGGCGTAGTTCGTTGTTATATTATCATTGCACATTGCACACTTGAAGCAGTAATACGACTCTCGGCGTTAATAATAATAAAATGTAATCGTCTCAACTCGCAGTCGCAGTTGTCGAAAGACGTCATGATTCCACGTATTTTTGCCCGTTTTTGTGGGCCATTTATCGTGTCGATGTCCTTGCACGGCAGTTGCGCGCGCATTCCACCAGCCATCTTCGCCATCGCAGCGATCAGGATCGTCCGGCGACGACGAATTCCAGCCGCCGCCGACAAGCGACCGTTGGACCCGGCCAACCACCGTTCGGCGGGCAGCTGACGGTCTCGCGTGTTATCATTCTCATTAGCTATCACAATTGCTGCGTTGTAGCGAAGAGCCGCCGCCGCCGCCGCCGCCGCCACTGATTGATTAGAGGTTATGAACTTTTCGTGTGTAGAGAATTATTATTCGACTTTAGTAGTATTATTATTACTGTATTTTAAACACATTATTATATTATTTTGATATTATTTCGATATTATTTTTGTTGTTTAAATGTTTGACCAATCGTATCTCCCGTAGGAATGTTGCCTTGTTAATATCATGTTTTTTAAATTTTTTTTTTAAAACTATGATTAAATCGTTGATTTCATTCCCTACCGTCGGTTAAGAAGACGCTTATTCTCACATCATCATCGTCCGTTCATCAAATGTAGTTTGTTATCATCGCAGTAAACGACATGTAAAACGTTAGATTTTCCGTTTTCGCAGTACCCGCAATTATTGTTAATCGTCCCGTGTTTACACGAGTCAAGAGCAAGAGCACGATCACACAGGTTGGTACCTATATAATATAGTTTCGATTTAGGTTATAATTATTAACGCAATTTCACAATGAATTTCGTTGTGTATTTACTTGGTTGGAATTTTGAGTTTATGTTGAATCATTAGCAATTTATGCAATATCGAGCTCGATTATGTTTGGCTTCAATTCGACACTGTCAAAGATTATAAATTAAATGCTTGCGCATACTTATGTTGGAACTGAAATAAAATGTGCTGTGCCTATCTGGGTTCTACATTTTTTCAAATATGTCAATATTTTGAATACTATACCCTTCATAAATGGTGTAGTATTTGTATTTCAATATATTATTTTTCTTGTACTCTCCTATCTACTAATTAAATAATGTAATATATTAATTTTTTGATATACCTACCAAGTGTTCAATATTTTAACATTTTTGAGGATAAATAAAAAATGTAGTGAATATCTTTTGTTTTATAGAGTACCTACCTTGATAGTGACACCTTAATATTAAATATAATTTATGAATATCTCACAGTATTCTAATATAATAAAATTTGTTTCTCTAATAATGGTAGGTATTTACAACCACAAAAGAATATTTAAGCATAAATCTATAAAGTACCTACCTATAATTTAAATAAAAATATGTTTGACATGCATTATTGATGTCTTTCTAAGTTCAATAATAAATAATTTATTAACATTATTTGGAATTAATATGATCAGTTTTTAACTTGTAGGTAGCAGTATGTGTACTTAATTTTTCTATTATTTAATACCTATCTAGTTTTTCTCTCCGTTAGGTATCTAAATAATATGTATATTAATATAAAAAAGGTGGGCAAGTAGTAACTGCTTTGCTCTACAGTAGTTGTCGAGTGGATCATTGCAATGGGTGTGTTAAATTTGAATTCAATGATACATCATTATACCTATAAAAAATGATATTGAGCAGACTGAATATCAGTCTAGGATATTTTATATTATAGGTATTAATTATTAGTAATAACAGGTATGATTAATTCATTTTTGCCACATTTTTATTTTCATATCTACCTATTCTAAAATGGAATGATCAATGATTTTTTGTTTGAAATACTTATGAGGAACTTTGTCAATACATTATCAAGCTTTAGCTACAAAATAATTTGAAAATGTTTTTAATTTTGTCAAAATTAAAACTTTAAATGCTTATAACAAAATTGTTAATTTGTATCTTTAATGTTTTTAAATAGCTATAGGTAGTATAAATGTATCAGAAACCTTGTCTTATAACTTTAAGCTTCTTGATCTAACAAATATTTTTTTATTTACATTTCGTAGTAAAAATATTTTAATAAATCTAAGATAGTATAACTATTTGATGACCCCTGGGCCCTGATACCAAACAATTATTTTAATAACATTATTAAAAATTTAAAAAGTATCCATATTTACAATTTTGGTCTCCTAAAAGTACCAACTTGATACAATTTTCTCCCAGAAACCTCCATCAAAGTTGACGATCAAAACATTTTTTCTACTAAAAAGGCACAAAAAACCCACACATTATTGTAAAATCAATACATCCATTGCTACGCTCAGAATCTAAAATATGTAGATGTATAGACCTCCACACGATTACACGAACATGTTCAGTGCCAATTATCTGCTTGAAGAATAAATACAAATACAAATAATATATTATGGTATTTGAAAATTATATTACATATATTATCAAGATTCTCCCATCAGATTTCTCTTCACTTAGGTATCTAATCAAAGTTTTCAATAGTTTTTATATTAAGCATATTTTTAGTTTAAAACTTATGATGTAAATCATTTTTTGGTTATCTATAAATTATATTATTACATGTTTTGTACAAGAAAATATTATTGTGATAGTAAGCCATGATGAAATTATTTTTCATACATACCTATTAGCTTCTATATGAAGGCCCAAATCTAGCCCATACCCAGCCCAACAGCGGCCCACTAATAACTAAGGGGAGATCAAAGGCCCACCCTGCCTCTCCCCAAATGACCCCACTGATGTATCAGGCATTAGTATTTTATTTTAATTATTACAACAGAGTAGCAAAGTAACAAACACTTAACATAAAACTAATTGTGCTTATCTTCTGTTTATAATATTTATTGTTCCATTTGTTATACATTTTAATAAACAAATTAGAAAAAATAATCCAAAATGAATTTTGAGTCTTTTGGCAAATAAGTAAATAAAACAATTAAAAAAGTCTACCACCGATACATGCCTTCTGATTATCTTATATTTTAACAACACATACTTTATATGCCTATATATAATCCACTTAATAATTTGGATGTTAAATAACTAATAAGTCATCTAATCTTTAATAATTTGATATTACTCCACCAATCATAAATAAAATGAGAGCATTGAACTATTTTTGATTATAACTTATGATTCTAATGTTAACTAATAAATAATGATCCTAATAATGTCAATAATTAGAGTATTATAAAATTAAAAAATAAATAGATTTTTCTGGATTTTTCTTGAAAATGTAAAAATTGATTAGTTATTACTGTGGTCGGGAGTAACGCATTAATTGTTGCAATGCTACAGTATTATGCTACTTGATTTGAAGCAATAAACATAGTATCGCTTCATTACACACAATGTAGCTAAATACTAAAGCGTGCTAGAAATTTAGGGTTAGGGTACTAAAAATTGTCATTTATCGCTTTCTACAATTTATTTGATGATGTAGCAATTTATATCATATTGCAAATTTTTGAACACCCAATTTTTGTAACTTTTAGCTTACACACTTCCCAGGTATAGACTGACATTAATGAATAAAATAATTTCTATTGATGGAAAACCAAAAAAATACATTGAGCTGCATTTTTTTTTTTTGAATTCAAATGTAACCTATGTATTTTGATTAAATTTTATTTTTAAATAATTCAATGTAGAAAACATTATTTAGTAATCAGTTTAACTTTTTTCTCAGAAAAATAATATTTTATAATTTTCTTTAGTTGTAATATTTTTATACTTACACATTTTTGCTGGGAAATTTTTCCATGACATAACATGGATTTGTTTTTTGTATACAATCTTTTATCGTTTTATTCAAATTTAACTCAAACCTACTATACTACAGACAGAGTTCCTCCATTTTTCTTTATTCGATTAAAATGTTTATGATAACAGTCTTTTCTTATTTTTATTGAACTCAAAATTGATATTATTTTATACTTTTTTTTGCTTTGCACCTTCTACCAGAGATTTCCAAACTTCACGATCCTCTGCATCTTTAATACTTTCTGCATTTTCTCTTTAAATCATATTTTACTCGGTACATCCATTGTTGTCATGGTCTTCCCACTGGTTGTTTTTTATTTGGCTTGTTTATGAGTACCTGTCTAATCAAATATCAATTAACCCCCTACTCGTCATATATGACTAACCCACTAGCCTTACGACCTCAGAAAATCATGTAAATTGAGTGCATTATACAGTCTGCTTCTCATTTTCATTTATTTTAAGAGCTATATTTTTACTTGTCACTGTGCTTTCTTACATGTTTTATTCTATAAATGTAACAGTTAAAGTAGAAAATCTGAGAATTTTATAGAATGCCTGATCATTTTGGGCAATGTACAATCAATTGACCATTAAAAACTGCTAATTTTATATTTCTTACATTGTCCTTACATAATATTCTTGCTTTGACCCTAATATTTTATTTTATATAAAACTATTCAGTTATGAAAACTTAATTTAATTTAACAACACAACATATATATGAAGATTTTAATGTGTGCACACTAGTGACTTATAATACCATCGAAACAATTTTTTCGAGTGACTTCCTTGGTTTTTTAAATTGTAAGTGCTAATAAAAAAAGCACGGAAAATGGTACTTGAAATTTGTTATATACTTAAATTACTTTAATGTAATAAACCATTTATAATTTAGATCATTAGTGATCTGATAAATAGATGTTAACAAAATGGGTTTTATTTAGAAAGACTTCTATACTTATTGAACGTTTCAAAAAAAATCTGTGGCATTACTTCTTATATTATAATAAATATATACTTTTGTTGCATTGAATTATCTTGTATTTGTTTAATTACAAGTCAAACTCTTATGCCGGATTGCACAAAACATTTAATGAATCAATAGTGAGCTAATGGTCCCTTAAACATGATTTAGTGGCCCGCGATTGGTCCATTAAATTTTTAGTGAAACATTAAATTTAATAAATTGTTTATGTATTAGTAACATATTTTAATATTTTAAATAATGTTAAACTTATAGAAATATTAATTTTATTTGTAATTAGTTCAAACTGATTAAACTATACTATTTATTTTGATATTTAGTGGTTTTTAGAACAGGTTTATTACAAATAAACTATTTTTATTCAATGTTAATTAAAGTTAATATTGTAGGTTGTAATTTAACAGCTTTTGATTATGACTGGAAATATTATCATAAGATGATTAAGATGATTAAAATTATTCTCTAAAAATATAATTTTTTCTCCTTATGAGTATGCCTCTTCTCCCATATTCATTATGTTTGTTTGTCATAACTCATAATATGTGTCATAATAAATTGAATCAGGAATTTCGAAAATGGCTCATTACTGAAAATTAAAATTTTTCAGGAAACATAAAAACCTGATTTTCTTTTTAATTTTCTTTTTTATTGTACCAATTTTTTTTCTAAAATTACGGATTATTATTTAATATTATGCCTACGTAATACAATATTCTTGAAGTGAAATTTTATTGGAAAAGTGATTCATTAAGTTTTCCGAGACGAGTCCTTTACAAAATTTATACGAGGATTACAAGGATTTAAAATTGAAACAGATATGAGCCCTTTTCGCTCATAAAATATCGGTCTATATAAGTAAATGAAAAAACACTGGAAAGTATATTTTGATAAAAACTCGAGATGGGCCCTTTTTGAAATTCCCAATTCAATTGAACATCAGTCTTGTTAGATTTATTACTACTAAACAAATACATTTACCTACTTTAATCATTCAATTAAACAATTTAGGCCTTATTGTTATTATTCATTTTTTAGTTTTATAATAGTTTATTTGTATTTATAAATTAATAATTGAACTGCTTGTAGATTTTATATACTATGTTGTAAATTATAATATTTTTTACTTATTTCAAAACTAAAATACAACAAAAAAATTATGAGGTATTAGTTATTCTATATCATATTTTTATAGTAATATTGTTGTTTATTTTCTTATCAAATATAAATACAATTTTAATATTATTTTAACATATTTAAAATGTATCAAATAATCAATGCACTTTGAAATATCATTAATAAAATATTATTTACAATATTACTTAGGTATTCCGTTTGATTGTATTACATTTATATTTAGTTATTATAAACCACAAACATTAGTTTTGATGATTAAAAAAGGTTTATTTTATTTTGACATTCACATGGTTGTTATAAAATAAAATTATGTGTTTAGCATTTATATACAATTCGTGAAATTAAATATCCACAAATTGTGTTTTTTGTTTGATTATCATTGTAGCCATGGTTATAAAGTAAAATTGAAATTTGTGTTTTGTGTGTCAAATATTAGATAGGTAAGTAGGTAACTTATCATGTTTTGATTACATAATATATGTTACATAGGTACTTAAAAATTGTATAATCCACTTAATTGTGTAATTTTACCTAATACATTAAATTATAAATTAATTTCGACGTTAAAAATCAAAAATATTTATTTTTATGTTGTTTGTTTTTAGAAATATTCTGAATTACATACCTAAAAAATGATACAACAACAAATCACTTTTATAATATTAATTTCTATTTTATAAATTACTTGCATTAAAAGTACTAAACAGATCTCTTCTTATTAATATGGTTTCAATATTGCAATTTTCAAACACATAAATTTAAAAATTGTGAATTAATTGATATTAAGCCAACTATAAATTATTTATAATGGGTATATGTTTTTTCTGTACAATAAAGTTTTATAAAAGTTATGCTATTTTCACAAATTTTGGTATAGGTACTATAACGTGTTTAAAATGCTTTTAGAAATGTGTGGTTTTTTTTTCATAAACCATACAATAAACTAAAGGTGAATTTTTATATAAGTATTCTGGAAAACTAATATTTCAATGAAATTGTTTATGAAATATTATATTATCACTTTTAATACTCAAAATGAATTATAAATTACAATGTCAAAATTAATTTTGGCTTATAATTCACTAGTATCTTGAACTATTGAGACTCAATATTATGATGTTTTCTCACATATATATTACTAACTAATAACTATGTTCAGTACATTTTGTTAAAAATCTTAAATCATTTATTATTTTTATGAATACAATAATATTTTTAAATAATTATGTATTATACACTACAGTGAACTAAGTTCTACTCAAAATTATTTATTTTGTTGCAACTAAATATTCAAATAAGTTGGTAATGAAAATACATCTATCCTGGATAAAAATTAGGAAAATTGAGTCGAGTAATAAAAACTTTATTTTTTGTGTCATATTCAATTTTATTTTGTACGAATTTGCTTGGTTTCATTTTAAAATTTGTATAGGAATACCCAAGTACGTATTTTATAATAGTAACTTGTTCACAATATTCAATATCATATGGCTTGTAAAAATGCCTACAATAATTATCTTAGGCATAATGTATTTTATGTAACAGGTATTTTTTAAATTAATGTGTACCGGTGTACCTATTACAAAAACAATGATTCGTATTATATCATTTAATTTATATTTAAAAATAGATATAAAATAATGAATATTATTATTGGTTATTAAACGCAACCAAAGGTTTTTATTTTAAGGTCATAAAAAACGAAAAACTTAATCCATTTGCTGTTCATAACTGATAAATCGGGTGACTTTGATTCCCTTCTTTACGACCTCTACGAGTTTCATGATAAAGCCAATGATTTATCATTTATTATTCTTCTGACCTTTCATGCATAGAAACATAAGTTTGCTCCGAAGCTCGAAGGTATTTTTTCCGTTTTTTTTTTTTGTTATAAGTGATGCTAGTTCAGAAATAAAATAGCTAGTATATAGACAAGATTTTTCTTCCACTCAAATGGGTAAGGTACAATATTACAATATTAAAATAAATAATATCTTATTCATTTAATTTAAATTTTATTGATAGTATTTTATAATTTTAAAGTTGCATGATCTATGAGTACCTTATTTTTTGTTTGAATTTAAAAACCTATGAAAATTTTATTATTTCGTATTACAAAATACAAATATTATAAACTATAAAAATATAATATTATTTAATAGGTATATAACTTTAAATATGTGGTAAAATATGATTATTTTATTATAATTTTATAATTTATGTTATTCTTGGTATCAAATTCAAACAAATTGATCAACTTAAATAGTTTTATTGTATTCCTATATTTAAATAAACAAAATTGTAGATTATAATAATCTGTATATTTTTGAGTATCAATTATAATCATTAATAAAATATAATTAAAATATCAATTTAAGTATTTATTTCAAAGAAATACTTATTACTTGTGTAAATATAAATTAATAAAATACGATTTTCATCGGTAAAAATTACGTGTTCGCTATTATAATGCTTTTGATTATACATACCTATTTCTAAAGAATGGTATCTAATATTCATATAAGTAAATTTTTTAAGAAAAAGAACAATTTGACAAGACTCATCACTATGTTTTGGATATGAAAGAAATAGTATATTATAATAATAATTGAATATCGCTACTATTAATACTTATTAATTATTATACAATTACAATGACTGAAATTTAGTTTTTGACCGAAATGTATTTTTATTTTATAGGGTATACTGTTCTAAACTATGTTGCTTTGTGTAAACAATAATTTTATATGTAATGATTCTTGATAAAAATTGTGGTTGTTTCATTGTTATGTACATTTAATAGTTAATTTAAACTTTAATTAATATGAACTAAGCAAATTACATTATTTGATAACACGGAAATAATTTATAATATACGTGAAACAATAAATTTTGTTATTAAAATCCATTAACTAAAATGACAAATTAATTCTTGTAAAGACGTAAAGTGTACTGATAAATGTTGTACTTTGCTCCAACTATAAGTAAAGTGATAAATGATAATATACTGTTGATATTTTCGGAGATACAGATTATATTTAAATCGATGTCAAAAATTACTTTAAATAGTATTGAAGGTTTATATCTTAAATAAGTAATGCGTTTTCGTGTATAACGAACGTTTTACGTATATTATATTGTTTCATGGATGTATGTTATTTTAATAACTTAATAATATTATGTCGATATGTTTTGAAATAAAAACCCAATTTTCATATTGATGATGTCTTATAAGTAAACTATTTCAATGGAATAAATCAATTTTAAAAATGAAATGTAGGTAATTGCTCTGTTATACAGTAGGGCCAGTAGGGGTTGAGTGTACCTCGTCATTGAGTAAATCACTATAATCCATAATGTATATTGTATAATAGTGTATTATTGTGTTAAATTTGAATTCAATGATGAATAATTGCATACGAAAAACGATTGTGTGAAGACTGTCTTGTCAGCCTTTAAGTATATTGTAAGTTTATTTCATGATATATTTTGTTTGATATTGCTATTAAAGTAATCTATTTTAGTATTTTACTATTCGTATTATGGTAGGTTGATTTAATTTTTAGCAAAAATTACACTTATTATATTATTAAAATTGAATTATTACAATAGCATATTTTATTCATATAAATTATAGTGCCCCCCCCCCCTTACCGTAAAGCAGTGTAAATAGGTTCGTAGTATAAATAGACAATTGCTTAAAATAATAATTTGTCTAAATATTTTGGAAAATGTTATGTATATAAATTATAAAATAAAATAATATACGTAAACATGTCTAGTCCCCATAATTAATATTTTTACAACAAAATAATTTAAATTAAATAAAAGTGTTTTTCCTTTAAATATCTAATTTTGTCCAAGTTTGAATTTCAAATATCTATAAAAATAAATGCGCTTATATATATTTTAGATGTTTTGGTTTCAAAATAAACTAAATATAAGGGAGAACCATGTATTACATTGCCGATGTTTTTGACAAAGCAAATCATTTTAATCAACAATTAAATAAAAAAAATATTGGGCATTTTAAAAGTGTCTATGAGTCGATAAAAAAAAGAGTCAAAATATTTTTACACTTACACCATGTGCAGAAAATGCTAATATAAACATTTGGTAAAAATTATCTACCTACGGTTATTCGTTTAATTACAACAAATTAAAGAAATCGATTTTGTCAAAAGCTGGCTCTGCCTAAACATGTCTTCTATTATCATTTTTAAAAGTACCTATTAGAAATTTTTCCACAATGTACGATTGCCAACTAGATTATCTTTCCTACCAGAAAATATAGTGAAGTTGAAAATTTTAGTATTTATACTGCTCCAAAAGATTTGAATGAGTGATGACTAATGACAGATAAAAAAACTCATAACCTAACACTCGTTATTGTAAAACCAATACATAAGCCAATCAGCTCAGTGTCTAAAATATAAAGTACTCAAACGTCTCAAATTGTCTTAACATAATTGTAAATACCTAATACCTATATGGGCTATATATAATGTAGTGTCAATCTTAAAAACATGATATATACGATAAACGATATACCTATACCAATCTTGTATTGAAATATTGCTGTGATTTGTTGTCTTATATTGGTGCAATTTCGACATAAAAATTCAATACGATTTCTTCATTTTTTTAAAATTTTTTTTTATGAATATTTTAAATCCGAGAAAAGAAATAATATCATACTTATAAACTGACGAAACAAGCTTTGAAGTCATATTTTATTCATAAAAAAAAACACTTAAATTGATGAATTTAAAATTTATAAAATATAAGATGAGATAGATTACAACGGCAACATATACTTTAGAAATGATTAATTAGTTTGGTTATTTATTGTTTACGTCTTTAGTAGTTGTTCTTTTAGTATATCCGTACCTATTTAATTTATTTGAACAGAAAAAGTGCTCTAATATGTATATGTACTCTATAGTTTCTACTATACTGCGCTGTGTCATTTTTAAAATTTTATATAAAATGCTTAAGAAATAAAAAAAAAATAACCAATTTTAATCTTAAAACATAAGCCTTGATGAAATTCGTGTGTTGTATCCAGTTATATCCAATTTATTTATTTTAGCTATTATATCTAATATAGATAGATACTTTTTTTAGTTTTATAAATGTTTACTTTTCCAAATTAGAATGGTATTGAATGATTAATGAATAATGATATTGACATTCTAGTAACTAATGACTAACGAATAATGAGTATTAAGTATTAACCAATGTGATTCTCTGATATTTAAAAAGTACTTACGTATGGAAATCGTAAATTTATTAAAATCATCGGTTATTGATAAATATATAATATTTGCTATGGATTTAATTTCCACATAGTAATTATAAATTAAGTTTTAATTTAATTAGTTATAATTTACAAAATTGGAATTATTTATTCTTGTAGGTATGTTTTTGCAATTTAATACAATATATATCTTAGACTAAAATCTTTTCGAATTATCTAATGAATAATTTAATTTGTACCAACATTTTTAAAATTGATTAAGAGTAGGTATTGATAAATTTAAAGAAAATTTCAATAAAAATTGTCTTAGGTATAATAATAAATTATTGGATAAAAATGTATGTTATTACTAGACACTAGTGCTTATTATTCTATAACTTTCTGTTATATTCATATCATTTTTTTAGGTACTAGTAGTAGGTTATAGTTTATCATATTTAAAAAAAATTATATATATATACATGCTACTTTAACATATAAAATGTATTTCTTAGCTTAAATTTACGTAATAGTTGTAGTTAATCAATCGTTTATTATACTTCATATTTTTGATTGTGAATACATGACGTAGAATGTTTTGAAATTAGTAATTGTAACATAATATTCAAAGATAATAATAAGTGTTTACTTTTTAAACACTAAAATAGATACTTATGAGTTTATTTAAAGTTATTCTGATTTTAACAATTTTAAATCAATTTTTTTTTATAATTTTATTCTATTTTATTTTAACTTATTTCAGTAGAAAAAACTTGAAATTTTCGGATATATGTTATGTAGGTATACGGTTTTTTGTGTAAATATTTTTTTATGTAGGTAGTTATATTAACTTTAATTTACTTAGGTACTTCGTTATAAGTTATAAGTGATGTCCTGTTTTTTCTCTTTATGTTTATTCAATCATATGAAATATGTTGTGGTTTATTCCAGCATTAATTACAGAGACTCTCATCATTGTGCGATAGATTTCGATCGACGGGGCGTCATAATGCAAGAGTATGATTTTATTTTTTCATCGTTTTTTCTCTGTTATTTAACATTAATACAATTTTTTTTTTAATTTTGGATATTATTTGATAGAAGTAGGTTTTAAAATTAAACTGTTTACTGTAATTTTCATACTTGAGAATCTTAAAAGAAAATCCTCATTTTATGTTAACTTTAACAAGTTTGTCGTTTACCTATACCTACCATTAGTGTTACACTATTACCGTATTATTTTTTTTTATTCAATAACTTTAAAAATAAATAAAAAAGGTACTACTTTTTAGACTAGTGGTATTTTTCTCCCACATCTAATACATTTAGGGTGTGGATTTAATTGAAAATTAAATTATTTTTTTTAATGCCCTAAAACATGGATTTCCAAACACAAGATTAGTTTCATATATCTAAAGACTTATAAATTATAATCAATCTTTTATTTTTTTAGGCATTTGCTTTTTCTACGTTTTTTGTATTTTTAGGGAATTATTTATACATTCAATTCATTTTTCGTATATTTAATAAAAATGCATAACATTTCAGCTTAAATTATTAACCCCCCCCCCCCACACACACACATACACAGAAAAAAATTGAATATTATTTATTTTAAATGCATGCAAAATAGAAAAGAAAGATAGGTACCTATGATGTGTTGAAAACTGGTGATGTAAATTATTGAACTTAAAAAATATTAACAAAATAATAGTAGT